CAAACTTTAGTCGAAGAGTAAATTAAACGAAAAATAATACGTACTGGCTACGATGATCGTCATGGATGCCTGTGCCTCCGCTCGACTTTCGGTGGTCGTCAGAGTGCACTTGAAAACTCCGTCGTGGCTCTCCTTGATCTTGGCAATGCGAACGCCACATTGACCCGCCTCGGTGCCTTCTCCATAGTACTCGATACCATCTTCAGGCAGTTGTCCCTTGGACAACACCATGCCACCTTCCTCGCCAGGTATTTCCACGCGGCAGACCCGAAGTGGTCTACCCACTCTGCACAAAATTTGAAGACTCTCGCCCAGTCGTACAGCGGTCTGCCGTTTTGGCTCGATGTCCACGATTAGGTTTGATTTCGATGCTGCAACCAAGAGAAAGAATAACTGGACTCTCTCTCTCTCTCTCTCTCTTGTAGAAATTGTACTCGAGAAAAATTTAAAGACTTTGACAAATGTATTACACGTTGCGAATATATTATAAAATTTGAACAGGCCGTAATTCTGTCATATTATTTCAAAGTCTCGGTCTTTCTCATCGACAGTTTTTCGCCCCCCGACTTATCGAATTACTGCGCGAGAGAAGAGAAGATCGAGGTCGCACAGTTTCTCTTAATCCCCGCGCGTTGCGCGTTACATTTCTTATCGAGTTTCGCGAATTCACGAAATACTTATGGGACTCGCTTGCGAGAATATTCGTTACAATTTCAGGCAGCGGAGAGCGCGCGTGGCTTTCGCAATTTAATCAAGCAAGGTAACGAAGACACACAGTGGCATTTTAGCGTGGACATGTGGCAATAAGCTCGGTCGTTTTTACCTATATAACGATATTTCGAGTGTCTGTTTGTACGTGAAGTGCTCGCGGAGTTCTCTCGCGAGGATTCGCGACGACGGTTTAAGGGAACGCGTGAAAATTTATGGGCACGTGTCCGCTTTCAATGGCTCGTAACTTGTAATAATCAAGGAGTCGCGCGTATAAAAGCGCGCCTTCATCGGCTACGTGGGCGACGAAGATTTAATACCGGCGTCACCTTGAAATTGCACGTCATCCCACGATGTTAATATTAATCTTCGCTTCGACTCGTTGCACGACGTAATAATCGTCGCTTGTCGTCGAGAGAGGGCCGTGCCACGATTTTCGAACCGCGTGCTCCCTCGCCTCGTTTCGCGCCTTTCGACACCTCGTAACCGTATGGTAAAGCTTGCAGAAGACGTTTCATTTCGAAGAACGAAACCGGCGCTATATGCAAACGTGTGAGAACATTTTATACAATCTGGTATATTCTTTTTTATATACCTTGCACTCCTTTCACGATCACATTCGTCCGGACTTTCCAACTTTGCGAAATTGATTTCTTTAATATTAATTCTACTCCGTTTTATAGGTATATTTTCATACCTTTGTTCCTCTTTTTCCGTTTTCACATCGTAATTCCAGTTCTCCACGGTTTCTCATTTCGAAACGCTCGAACTCGCGCCACCTTTACAATAAATTCATGGGAAACGTTTCTACATCCCGCTGCTCCTATATAATAGCAGCTTCGTTCGTTTCATATTCCTCAAAGACATTGCGAAAATTCTTCACTGTCCTGGCAGTGCTTCGCTTTTATTTGCCCTCTTGTCTTCAGAGGGGTTCGCGAAGTCCCCCGCAACGGCGGAATTTCTATATCTTCGATCCTTTTTCATAAATGTCATCATGTTCGAAAGTGATGAGACATTTAACCCTTGCGCCAATTTGACGTGCTTTTCTTGTAAAAATGTCATACTTGTTTCTGATATGTTTCTAATTTAGGAGACAATTGCGTTTCAAATGGGACACTCTATATAAGTATGAGTCTCGCTACAATGCTGATAACACGTTCCGTGCCATGTGTACCACCGGTGGTACACGATGTGATAGCTACTCTAAACAAGAGAACTACTTATTATCGATTGCTGATGATTTAACGATGTGATAGCTACTCTAAACAAGAGAACTACTTATCGATTGATGATGTAATACAAATGGCCTGAACGACAACAAAAGGCAAAAATCGCTTGCCACGGAACGTGATAACATTCGAAAGTGTTCGAGGTTTCTTGAACCACTGCGTCGCACCAATGACAACAATAACGAAAAATATTTGAATTTATTCGTTTCAGAATTCGGGTCCTTTTGAGCGATAGATACTAACGAACCAACACGAGATTACACACACTTTTCTCTATTTGCCGCGGACTAACGTGAATTACACGAACGCGATCGTTCGTCTAAAACAGCGCGGGGAAAAAAGGCGGGCGAGTTTCGAAGGAATTTCCTTTCCCCATCCCCGCGAAATTTTCCTCCCCCGAAACTTTCCCCCGTAATTGTACTGGTATGTAATGGATAACGAGGACTGGCCGGGCCAGTCCGCTTGTATCCTAAATGAACAAAAGTTTCGGCGCAGAAAGCTCCCGAAGTATCGAGCTGTACCAGCGAGTCCAACGAAATGCCCAGAAAATTAACGAAAGAAAGGGAGAAGCCAGAGTTCTCATGAGCAGTCAGATTGATTTCCGATATTTTGCATCCACTCGATGACGCGACCCTCTGTTTTTGCAAAACGCAATTTTTGCAACAACATTGTCACGAGTATGAGAATTTCCGTGACTGACGAGTGGCAAGTCGTGAGATTCGGGAATGTCGAATATTTAATAAAAACTTGAGTTTGAATTTCTTTTCTTCTTTTTACAGGATTTGGATTAGATGTACGGATCATTAATCTTCTAAATTTATGAAGTTTCAGAAAAATCTTTACTTCTTGTACAATTAGCAGTAATTTCGAAGAAACGATCAGTAGTAGTATTTCCTTGGTACTTCATATAAATATAAATACTTATATTTTACGATTTTGTATGAACATATAGATTCAAGAAGAATTAGAATTTGCATATTTCCATTGTTTCTAGGAATATATAAAAAAAAAACTTTATTAACAATTGTAGTAATAATTTTTATGTAGCTGCTAGGAGAATTTCTAGTAAGAAACTTCAATTTTATAACATCTATTGCCAATAACAATATAAATATCTTATTTCTCCTCGTCTTTCGTACGATTTTGCAAAATTGCGCGAAATTCAAATTAAAATATTCCTCGAATTAATAATTCTTCGTTACACATATACAGGTTGCCACTTTTCATTTATAGAGAGTTTCGGTCTGTGCCGATTAATGGATTAAAAAATATACGATTTTATTCAAAAGAACTAATCTCTAAATCTAAATATGCCAGCTACAAAAAAAAAAAATCAATTACATTATATAGTCCTTTCTATACTGAACAACTTTTGTTACAATAAAACTTTTCTATATCTCTAAAAAAACAACGGAGATACTCAATTATTGGACTATTCCAGAGAATTCAGATTCGATTGATTATTTATGCTTTAGATTAATTAATTATTGTCACGTTTCGGGAGGGAACCGACAAGTGTCCTAAATACTTATGAATAAAACATACATACGTGTCAATTCAAGGAATATGCAACAGTCGAAGTTTTCTCGTTTCAGCAATTAAATATTTGCTGTGAATGTGAAACGAAGTCGCTTACGATAAATAACGTAAAAGAAACTGATCGAATAACGATGAAATGAAAAAGGCGAGCTCTTTCTTTTCTCTCGATTCTCCCGATTCATACTTGTTTTAAACGTACGTATTATGTATCATATTTTCGACGAGACGGAGTATAAGAGCGTTTGAACATTTAAAAGAAAATCAGATCTCCTAGGGTTTTCCTACTTACATTAGTTCGTTATAAGCAGCCGCGCGTCGACTTCAGCAACCGCACCGCGAAAAACGAGAAACAAGGTTACAAGCGACTGTTCTACGACAAATTAAATTCTAGAGAAAATTGGTTCATTATCCGCGCGAACGTTGCACAGTGTAACGTAGTTTGTTGCTGAAATCGAGTGAGAAACCGCCCGCCGTTGGCAACGTGGCCCTGCGAATTTGTTGCAACTTCCTGTCGAGATAGATCTAAATATTAGATTCCTCTTTATATTTAAATAAAACTCACCCCACCCCTCCTCCCCCGGGAGTTTCGTAATTATTTTGCAGATTTAGTCTTTTGCAAATGATGGAATTACTTGCTCCTGAAAATGACTATTTTACCTCATGGTATCCGAACTGCGAGGATGCGCATGACAGTTGTTGATAAAAATAAAATTGTATTTCCAATTATTCATACGTGGATTGTATCAAATTTTTCGTCTGACGTAAGTAAGTGAATTGACAAAAAGTAAAGTGACGATTAGATTTTCTTTATTTGACTATAACTAATCTAAACCTTTGACTATAATTCTTTATTTGACTATAACCTCTTTATTTGACTATAACTAACCTAAACCTAACCTAAACCTAACCTAAACCTAAACTTAACCTAAACCTAAACCTAAACCTAAACCTAACTTAAACCTAACTTAAACCTAACCTAAACCTAAACCTAAACCTAACTTAAACCTAACTTAAACCTAACCTAAACCTAAATCTAACCTAAACCTAAACCTAAACCTAACCTAAACCTAACCTATGTAAATATAACGTGTGTTGTGTGAAACATTTTCAAGTTTTACTAGCACTCTAACGAAACATGTATTTGTCTATCTGAATCTGTCCGAAAGTAGGATCAGTAGGATCAGCAACACATTGCAAATAAATGTTTAATATAAAAGTAACATGCGACATGAATATCCATTTTGAAAATATAACGAATATATAAAAATGATTTTTGCGAAATATACGATACGTATATCGGTATTAAAACTATTCACCGTGTTCTACATAGTATATTTGACTAATACCACTTGTCTCGTCTCATTATAAACACGCGCATGTCGACTTTCAAAACGTGTTTCACACGATACACGACATTTGTAAAAGCGTTTAGTTTATTATGAACAGCGTCGTGGTAAGCTCGCCAGTTGCGATCTAGATTTCTTAACGAGCAAACGTCCGATTCTTCCACCTCTGTCGAAGAAACGGAACTCTTCGCACAAGCGTGGATTATCAATTATTTCAAAGTTTCTTCCGCTCTTCGAACGAAAGTCTGTCGTGCAAATACCGCAATACGTACTTTCGCGAGTCGCTTCATTGCACGCGAACCTTCAGAAGAATCAAGACGACGAAGAACACGAGGAAGTATTCTATCAATATTATCACCTCGTCGCTTTATCACGTTGAAGATCACAACCCTCCGGGCAGGCAAGTCGAGCAAAAGGAAAAGAACCTAACGAGCATCTGATTTGCCTGGCAAAATAAAGTCTCGGCCAGCGACACTTTGCGATGACGAACGCCTGTAAGAAGAACAGTACAGGCCGATACAATTCGTGGGAAGTTATTATTCGATGCGTCAAGACGAGATGAAATATGATAATCGTTATTCGCGCCACGCCCGGTTTATCATATTTCTTCGGCGCGCATTATCATAATGGCATCGTGCACGAGATCGGCTCTCTCGATGAATGAGTGAGAGAGAGAGAGAGAGAGAGAGAGAGAGAG